GATCCTGAATGTGCTGACGCACAGAGATCAGATCCTGACAAGCCAGCCGTCAAAAATGTATATGCTGTATAAAAATAAGACACACGTTCTCTTTACATGCTTTAAAGGGTGACACGAAGATATTCCCAACATAAACGAGTAACGAAGCATTTAGTAATTTAACATGACAGAGAGGAAAGTATGATCAAGACTATTTCCAGTCATTACAAAGAACAACAGGAGCATGCTACATGTCTACACATAAGGTATTTCTTTAGACTACTTTTCACAAGTTGGACTGTCACACTTCATAAAAATTTCTTTACATAAAGCCTAGAGATTTGACTTAAATTTAAGTGTAATAAGCTTGTGCCCAATTCTGGGTTTTTTTGTTGTTTTAATTCTCTATACATCTACCCCACCATACCTTATGGTCTGGCACCTCTGTACCTGGTACTGCTTTCATGTGAAAGTCTACAACTCCAGCCTTTTTCAGTGATTCTAACAGATATGCTTTGTCATTTCTCTGTGGTTTTTCCTTCTGCAGCTTTGCTTCCTCCCTCTCTACGGCGAGCCTGTACCAAAAAGTACACCATATATGAAAAGAAATTCTGCCTGCGTGCTAAATTAGACCTGGCAGTGACTCTGTCCTACAGAACAGTAACCATTCACTACTTAAGGAATTAACATGTCTGCTACTTTCAAGAGAATAATGATGCAAAACACATTGCAGTATCTAATACGCATAACAGTCTACCAATGACAATAAAAACTAGAAAGAATAAGAGTGTAGCAGATGAAAGCACAGCCATAATCTTGTCATAAACAGTTTTTCTGTTTAACTGTGATAACTTTAGCAACAGCATACATTTTTTTATAATTGATTTTTACCTGTGCAAAAAGCTTTCTTTGGCTAACTCAATTTGCAGTGTCCCCCCTTTCCATTTTGTTTTATTTAAAACTGACATGCCTGTAAAACAAGGAGATGGAAAAATGAGTATTTTCTACATTAAAAAAAAAAAATACACCTTAGACCTAACTATGCCTCCTTCTATGACAGTCCGAAGTTTCTTTAGCATGAGCTTATACTCCATTACTCACCTGATTTAAGTTTGAATATGAAAGGTCTAATACTCAGATGTTAAACAAGAAAGTCTAAATCCAAAATTAAAGTTCTGACTTCAAGAGTCATCGAAGCCTGTATGGTTCAGTTCAAATACAAACCTGAAAATTTGGATACGTGTACTTAAGCGTCTACACTACTGTCAGACCAGCTCTTCTCTACTTAACTTCTGTACTTCAGCTTTCCTATTCCTAACGGCAACATTCCCTAGGAAAAAAGGCACATTGCCAATCCCTCTCTTTGGGTATAGGTATCTTCACCTGCCATTTTGCTGCTACATACTACACAGGTGGTTTCATAACCCTATCAGTAGTTTTGTAATCCAACTATTTTGGGATTTGTAAAATTGCTTTAACAGAAGCACGCTTTACTTAAACTCTCCTTTTGGGTTTCTTCTCACATCAAGTAACTTCTAATGCTTTATGGACCTGATGAAAGCATTTGCAGCGTATTTCCTATATCGTCTCATAAAAGGGCTAGGCTAAACTCCCAAATCACCCACTTCAGTCACAAGAAGTCTTTTTAATTGCTTACAACTACTTACTGAAAACTCCAGTAAAGCAACTTCCATAGAATTGCTGCTTAAAGAAAAAGGAATGAACATGACAACAGAATGAAACGGGGTCTACCTTGGCCACATCCTGATTTGACATTAGATACACTATCAGTAATACAGCTTGGCTCAAAAACATAACTTACTTTAAAAAAAATAATAAAACGTACTTACACTTTTTAAGATCTGCATCAGAAATGCTGACACTGATGTACGCAAAAGTTTTCACAGGGTTCCCTGCTCAACGAATAACATTCAGTTAATTTCCACATAATTTCAGTGTTTCCTTTAAAACTAAAAATTAAACCAATTCCTGAAAATAAAGCATCTCTGAAGCAAAAAACCCACTTCACACTACAAATTGAGAAACAATTCACTTTTAAAGGATGATACAAAACTGTTACCCTGATTATCTTTCCTGGTAATAATCTCTGCATCCAAAACACGCCCAAACTTGCCAAATCTTTCTTGCAGTTCAGCCTTAGAAACCGTATGGCCGAGCCCTCCAACGTACAAGCGCTTCGAAATTTGTTTCTTCTCCATGTTAAAATAGTCAAGCTGGAACGCACACTCCGTCTTTCCGTAAAGAGAAAAAAAAAAAAAAAAAAAAAAAAAAAAAAAGGAAAAAAAACAAGACAGACCGCCTCT